GTTAGTTTGTGAAATGCAACAGCTAACCCTTTTTATTTCTGGGAAAAAAGATAAAACTGCAATGACTCGAAGTTGAGAATGTGGATACCGCCTCATTCACACACACTCACTCCTAACTGAAAATCCTTCACCCCCTCCTCCTATCCCACGCACCCACAGCATCGTGCGGCCGGAGACCCAGGCTCCATCTCCCTCCGGCCGCCAAACCCAGACCTCCAAGAGCACCACAGTTGAACCCAGTTTCCCCTCCTCCAAACCGGCCCTTTCCCCCTTCTGCGCCGGCCACGACGGAGGAAGCCGAGCCCCGGTCCGTCGGACGCGGAGACCGGTCGTTCCCTCTTCCCGAAGGCGGCCGGGTTTTCTCGGCAAGTCAGTGCTCGGCTCGCTCGGAGCGCTGCTGCTGCGGCGGGATTTTCAATGTGGTGTGTTTCAAGCCTCACTCACTCATCCTCTCATTCCCAAACATTCAGCATCCGTGCACACTCCTCACTTCCGGGTTTTTTTCAAAAGATTTTGGAGATTTCCAGTGGGGGTCTCAGGTGTCATCCCAACGGTAACAGATCTGCAAGCAAAAAGGGGCCATCAAAAAAACCCAAAAAACCCCCAAAACCCACGGCCCAGCAGCACAAAACCTCTCATTTGGGAGATAAATCAGGGATAAGTGGGAAAAAGGGACTAAAGGAGCAGTAACAGGGATCCTGAGGAGCTCCCCAAGGCGGGGAGGCACAGCTGTAACAGACTTACTCTCCCACATGCAGACACACCATCACGCCCCTCCGGCAGTCGCATTGGCACAGACTCAGCATCTCCCCTTGGAAAGGTGATCCATGAGGATCACCGAGCCCAACTCCCCATGGGAATCCCGAGAGCATCATCCAGACGGTCCCTGAACTCCGAGCAGGAGGGAGCCAACAGGCTTCCACCCTGGTGCACAGACCCAGGGGGATGTGTTGCCCAATGCCAGGAGCCCCCGGCCTGCAGCTGGGTCTTGGGAATCACAGATTCCCACACTGGTCTGGGTGGGAAGGGACCTTAAAGATCATCCAGCCCCACCCCCTGCCATGGGCAGGGACACCTTCCATAGCCCAGGTTGCTCCAAGCCTCATCCAGCCTGGCCTTGGACACTCCCAGGGACGGGGCACCCAGAGCCAAGCGCTTCACAGCGTTTCTCCGTTCCGATCTGTTCCGATACAGAGGAGCACAGATGGGGCTTGTTTACAGAAAACTAAGCAAGAAAAACCTTCGAGAACACGGCTTTTGTGCAGCATCTCTTTCAGACTCGGGAGCGTAGCCAATTCCCTAATTACACAAGGGGGAAAGGAGGTGGGTGTAATCCCTTACCAAGCTTGATTCTTCAGTTTTCTCAGTTCTTTAGTCGCCCAGGTAGCGAGGGTTTTTGTTTTGTTCGTCTTGGATCTTCTCCCTTCAGTTAGTAGTTCATGTATCATGGGTCTAGCTTCTACTAATTTCAGTACATCTTTTCCAAACGCTGTACACAAATCCCTGAAGGAGAGAGAGAGAGAGGCTTTGAGGCCGAGCGCCGCCAACAGATGTGCTGTACCACTCTGATCAGCTCTTGCTAGCAAAAAGAAATCTGACTCACAGCTAATGTCCTTTTTAAAAGGCTGCATATGGTCACTAATTCCAGCAGGAGGAGAGCTGAGCAGTCTCCTGGAATTGTGACTAACCCAAGACATTCCACCTCCCGGTCAAAGACTGAGCTCCCTCACGTTCCCATCAGCTCTCCCCTAAATGTGACAGAGAAGGTTAAAACACCCTGCCCCGAGTTTCTTGGCACCCAGGGAATTGGGGGCAGGGTGTTTTCTAAGCCCAGGTCATCCCTGGAAAAATCCCCAGTTTGGAATTTCCGGAACAGGCATCCAGCTTTCACTTGCACCCACTGGTTTTCGCCCTCAGCTGAAGGGCCTCGCCTGCGTAACCACTTCACACCTCGGGTGAAACACCTGACCCGGGACCAAAAAGCCCCAGAACTGACCTTAAATGCTTCCGACAGTCATAAAAACCGCAGGTTCAAATATTAAAGCTGCTGTACAAAGGTTTGTATCCGTTCCTACCTACGTACCGGGCGCTGTCAGCCAAAACAGGATGGGGATGCTCACCCTATCAGTCCGGCAGCGCATGCCACGACTCCATCGGTGTGATCCTCGTCTCCAGCAATGTGGTCGATGTAAGACAGAATAAATTCTACCCTGGGCTGCACCAGCATCACATCCGCTGAAAGGAAACGGCTTTGTTAGAGCGGGGTGAAACACAGGGCCCGGTCAACAGCCTGCCCTTTGAAAGGGATTTCAGTCCCCACCCCCCTCAAACAGCGAGAATCTGGGCCCAGAAGAGCTCTCTGGGATCAGGAAGGGGAAAAACTGCCCGTGGAAGAGGGCTCTAAACCCATTCCCTGCTCATGGCAGCAGCACATTCGCTCCCACACAGCCGAGAACGAACAAGGATGTGCCCGTGGATGTGCCAACCACCCTGAAACAGCTTGTCCAAGCCGAGTTCTTCCCATCTCCCTCTGGCATTCCAGGCACAGAAGCAGCGCGCCAGGACCGGGTACTCACGGTGCACGTTTTCTTGGTCTCCCTTCAATCCCTGGACGATGCCGGTGTACGCTTCCAGGCAGCCCTCCCTCAACTCGTTCAGGTAATCCACCATGTCGTAGTCCGACTGGAAAGGGAACAGGAAAACGGGCTGCAGCAACGTCCCCAGGACGCGCGCGGGGCCCTCGCTCGCTCACCGCGTCGGCGCGGAAGCCAGCGCGTGTCGCCGGCTCACCTTATCCACCTGGGCTTGGGAAGCTTGCTGCAGCGTGTTCAGTACCACATCCAGGTACTTCTTAAACTCTCCTCCGATGGCAAGGGCAATATCGCCGAACACCGAGAGAATCTGAGGCTTCACAGACCTATGAACGTTTTCATTCTGGAAGAGATTTGGCCACCATTATGTCCAGTGGCGCTTCTTTTTATGGGGAGGAGCTAATAAATTAAGACATTTCCTTGAAATGTTAAGTTCTTACCCCCAATAAATTTGGATTCCATTCAAATAGTAAGCAAGATAGTTGTCAAACATGAGATCTTCAGAGCATGCCTAACACTTCTGCTTCTCCCACCTCCCACTTTCTTCTCAGTGTGCAAGCCAACTGTTACTAACTGGCTAATGAGAAGGTAAACACTCACCCCCAAGTTCTCCAGGAGCAGCTGCATAACCTCATCACAGAAAGGCAAGATGTTGGATTGCAGGGCTCTGCACAAGTCCCCAACCAGGCCCACCGTAGCCAGACAAACCTGCGAACAGGAGACACCCACCCAGTGAGTCAGTCTTCCCTGCTATCCGTACAGCTCCGGCTGATGAGGCACGGCGATGCCACAGCCATTAAACCACCGGGATAACGACCCTGTGACAGCGGCTGAGCCCCCGCTTCGCCAGCCGTTTACATCACAAAGCTGCCAAGAGCTGAGCTGGCTTCGCCACGGGGGAGGGCAAGCGATCCGGATGCCAAAGCGACAGGTTACGTGGTGGGAACAAACGCTACCCAATTCAGGAGTCGGGTGGTCTGAACATCTGCCCCATGGGCCGTGCCGTGACTCGACCTTCTAATGGACACTCAGAGCCAGGGGCAACCTCTTTCCTCACCATGGCCAAGTAAGATGCAGCCGCTGTGCAAACAGAGGTGCCCAGTCAATGGAATTAAACACAAGAGTCTAAACTTGTGTGCACGCAGTCAGTAATTAAAGAAACATCTACGAGGCTCCAGTTTTGGTCCCAGGACCAGAGCAGTGGTGGTTTACCGGTGCCAAGCTGCTGAACTCTGCGAGCACGTAAGAACGAAGAGACTGTGAACACAGGGCTGCTTGGCGTGAGCTGTACCTGGTACTCAGCGTAGTTCTTCAGTCCAATGCCAAGGAAGGGTTTGAAGGCATCCATGTACTTCAGAAACTCTCCACCTAAGACTGCACGGAAGATACTCTTGTTAGAAAGATCCCAGCCTGTGACACGTCCGCTGGAGTTCAACAGGAGGGAAACCCACCGTCACATTCCACCCAAACCCCAAACTGCACACTCCACAGAACCTGAGCAAATCCATCCTCGCACAAAAACTGTGCATTAGTGAAAAATATCCAGCTGGATTAAACCAGGATTCCCAAAAGCTCCATTTTTTTGCAGGCCTTTGAAGACAGACAACCCCCTCCTGCGCTCAGAAAGGGTGCTGAGATGGTCCTGCCCCAGCAGAGCCGTGGGAGGGAGGCGGCAGCACGCTTTGGGCCTGGTTGCTTGGCATGAGCTGAACGCCCTCTGCCTTTTCCCGGGCCTTTGCTGTTCAGAAGCTGCACCCGACCTCTGCGGGGCCGTGGGGTTCAAGCGGGGCGCTCCCCGGCGCGGTCATATTGAAGCTACGCTTGGAGTAATGTGGTTCTGCTCCGTGACGCTAACTCCCACCTCCCCCACATCGTGCAGACTTACCCAGCCGGGAGTGACAAGGCCTCTGGTCCCAGGAGGACACACACTTTCACTGCCACTTGCTCGCAACGATCCCACTCAACCTCATTTCACTTCCCAGTTTCCTCAGGCAATCCCACTAAACACTCCCAAGAGCTGTCAGCGGGGCAGCTGCCAAAAACCTGCTCTCCAAACCACGCTGGTGTCGGAAGGGGCTGCTCCAAAAAGCCCAAACTGACCCTGCAGCACTCACAAGGCACCCTGTGACCTCAGAGCAATCGGGCACCGACTGCTGCCAGCAACAGGCCCTGCCACCCGCTCTCAGACCCTTACGGGCCAGCCAGGATAACAGCCTCAGGGAAAGGGGAAGGCTCAAGCTGCTGGGAATACCACAGCCCCAGTTCTATCCCCCTTCCCCCACCTTAAGGCTGGTCTTTGCCACCGCGACCACGTTTGAACGACAACGACGCCCGTAAATCCAGCGCCGTCACGTGCCAGAGGCAGCGGCAGGGACGAAGCACGAAGCGAACGTTACACCTGGCCCGTGGCAGCACAAAGCAGCCAGGGTCCCACCGTGCTGGGGAGCGTACAGAGTCGCTCTCGGGGGTTTTTCCTGGCAGAATTTGCACAGCAGCCACGTTACTGACAGAAAACAAACCACTTGTTCAACACAACCCAGAGCAAGAGCAACTGGCCAGTCCCGGCGTCGCAGATCGATGCGGCGAGGTGTGTCAAACCGTGCCCCAAAGCACAACCAGGAACGAATGTTTTTTGCCATACAGTCAAAAAGAGAAGGAAGCAAACCAGTTCTGACCCAGCTCCGCAGCGCAAGACTGACCTTCTACCAGGGTGCTGACTGCCATCAAGGCGTCCTCCTGCACGCCCCCCGAGCCCGCCGTGCTCTGGAACATTCGCAGCAGCGACGCCATCACCACGTCGGAGATCTGCAAAGCGTCCTGGTGCTGGACCTTCCGGAGGACGTTCTGGGTGGGAACGGGGAAAGAGATCGTTAATCCCTTCCATCTACGCACGGCTGAATTGTGCCTTTACGTCTCCTGCGCCGGCTCCGAGCGCCCGTGACCAGGCCGGGCTGCTAAAAAGGGAGCTGCTGCTCCAACTCGGCTGTGAAAACATGCTTTGTCAGGGCAACGCATTCATTTTAGCTGCGTTCAATTTTCCAGCTACAGAGCAAGCTGAATTTACCCTTCCTGCTGCCTAGGCTATTCCCCGGGCTGTCTGTCTGCAAGCTGGCCTTCAACGTGACCAGCCCGAATTTGGTCTGATTACAAACACCCCATCGCAGCAGCGCGACGGCCGCGATCTCCTCCTGCCAAGCGCGGGCCGGGCGAAAGGTGTGCTGCCACGAACCACAGCATCAGGCTTCCAAAAGGCTGGTCGTTGTCTGCGGCACAAGCAGGTCCTTGCTGCTACCCGCAGCCAAACCTCTCCTACCCAGGGCGGGCGGAAAATAAATGAACAGCCAGCCAAAGCAAACTACGTTTACAGGAAGAGGTTTAGCACTGAGGTGGTTTCTGGGAGGAGCAGAGGAACCTGGAGAGCACATGTGCTTCGTGCTACCCAGCACATCCCAGCCAGCAGAAGGGCCAAGGACAGGTAAATACCCGAGCTTCATCTACGCTCTCCAACCGGCCCTTTCGGCACGTGAACCGCAGAGCGGGGCTTTGATAAAGCCTTGTTTTAAATAAATTTGCATTTGCTATGAAAAGAGAGAGATGGAGTCCTTAACCCGCACTGGAAAACAATGATTTCAAGTCTGAGTCTTCACACCAAGTCACTCCAAAGAGACTGACTTGGACTGTTTAAATAATTGGTCTTGATTTTCCCGTTCCTTTAAAATATTAACAAGTGTTTTTCCACTGCTGGATGTTCATAATTCTATTTCCAGCAGAAGAGAAAAAGCACTTAAAGTAGTGTGTCTGACTAGGTAACACTGGGAAAAATCCTCCCTCCTGATTTTTACGTGGTGGTATTTCATTATCTGCTGCAACTGCTGTAAATACCTCAGGTTCAGGTTCTGCGGTAATGAAGAAACATGTTAATTACAAATTAAAAACGAGCGGTTTAATTCCATCTCTGCCACCTGTACTACACCTCCCACCGGCAAACGGAGCCGTCCTGAAAGAGATCAGCGGCCACACTGTGCCGAGAAGAGGTTTTAGGTGCTAAAAGCCTACTAAAGCCCACCATAAGGAGAGAATATTCCCACCTGCCCTGAAAAACGATCCTAAAAATCAGAGTAACAGCTCATGCTTTGGGCTTTTGCACGAGAAGGATGGAGTCAATGATTTCTCACAGCAACCCGGAGATGACACCCAGGGGATCTCCTCACCTGACTTAGGAGGACGGGAAGGTAAAACGGATCGCCAACTGAAACGGGCCGATACCCGCAGGCGAGAAAACGGCCAATAGGAGTGGAAGGAGAATGGCAGAGAACGGGCAACACCAGCCAAAACTGGGATAAATCCGAGCAGAGATACTAAAGCAGCACCTCGTCACTGTTAATGACGAGGCAGGAGAGCACAGCACCACCTTTCGCTGCTGTGCAAGCAGGGACTCGGCATCAACCACCGCATCCCTCCGCGGATGCCCCGATGAATCTCCGGAGCAGTATTTTTGGTCGAAAAGAAAAGCGTCTGTTTCAGTGGACTTTGTGGGAGTAAGCAGGGAACTGGAATGTGCTAGTACTCCAAGTCACGTGGGCTGTTCATTACCAGATGTTTCATTTCAAGGACACTCTGAATTTTAATTAGTGCCATTTTAAGTAAGAACACCAACCACAAGAGGCAGATGAACAAATTAAAGCCATTCTGGAGGTTCTCCCCCCAGGTCTGTGCCAACCAAAGCAATTGTTCAGCCTGTAGCCAACACAAGAGCCAAAACCTCTGACTAAATAACACTACGTGGCGTGTCATATTGCCCCAAATTTTGGAAGTCGTGCTCTACTGAAGCCTTCTGAACCTTGCTTCACCTCCCACACGTCAGCTGGGCCACACGATCCCGTTTCTTCCTTCGGATCTCATCAACAGGAGCAAACCTGCGCCCTCGGGGGCACAGAAATGCCTCTCAACACCCCTCCTCAGCCCCATTTCCCACAACCTCAGTGCAGAGGATGTTAACTCACCTGTAGAGTAGCACAAAGAAGAGACTGAAGATCGTTGAACTGGATTCTGTCGGAAGTGCTCTGGATATGAGACTGGAAAAAGAAGCAAACCCCACAGGTGAGGAGCCGGCGTGGTGGTCCATGCAAACGCAGCGGATTCTGAAAGCTCTACGAGTTTTAAACGCTCGTCTCTTCAAACCGAAGACGAGGTCCTGCGCAGAAGCTTAACAGATCTACTCATCCCCGAAAAATAACACCACGTTACAACGTAAGGCACGCAGTCGGCAAGAAAACTCATTTTGCTAGACCGGAAGAAGGCCCAGCACAAGAGCAACATCGCACCTACCCGCTGTCCTTGACGCCCTTACGCCGGGGGTTTGCCTACCTCCATCTGCAGCACCTGCTGAAGTCGCTCCATGATGACCAGCGTTGTCTTCTGCACAGCCGGGTAACAGTCCTTGGCACTGTTCTTCACTATTTCCATCAGAGACTCGTAAGCGGAACTCCTCAAATTATTCTGGTGTCCATCAGGCCTGCAACAGAAGGAACGTGTTTGCAGCTCCCGGTGCTTAGCCTTGCTTAGAAACAGGCTTTTTTAGTCCATCAGCTAAATTTTAGTGTTGTGACAAGCAGAAGCACCTGCATTCCAAGACCTGAAAGTAAATTAAAGTCGTGAAGCCGCTATTGTGCTGGTTTTAGTCAGGACAGAGTTAATTATCTCAGCTATTAATAACGACTTTCAATCTTTTCAGTCACTGGTAGCGAGCAGAGGAGCAGAAATCGCCTCAAACCCACATCTTCCCGTTATCCTGCCTGGGAGAAGATGGTCTCAAGAGGGGAGCAGCATACACTGCTACCTCTGACATCCCCCTGAGATGCTGATGAGGGTGTTAGAATTGAAATAAAGACAGCCCGAGATCTAGGCTAAGGTGACTGATGGGCTTCGGAGCCTTAAGCTAGACGCTACGCTTGTGGCTGGATGCAAATGCGACAGGAAGAGGGTAGACTCTGAGCTGTTCAGACAGGGACACCATTTACAAAGTCGTCCTGCAGCAAAAGGCTTCAAATCCAGGGATTGAACTCGGAGCTGTCAAGATTTATGCGGCCTTCGAGGCAGAAGGCGACTGCGGCGTTACTCTGATTTTTGCAGAACCGAGAAAAATATTCTGCCTCTTCTATTTATATTTCAACTTTGGATGGAAACAGAGAGTCATCCAGGCTAACTAGGTCCTCAGCTCTTCCGGGAGTACCTGGTGCTAACGAAGTGGATGTAACGCTACAGCAGCCACCACAGCATAGAATAGTTGCAGTGACAGTAGGATACACACATTTTAATTAACATCATGCTGCAACCCCAATTATTCCCAGCCTCGTAAGAGTTACAACTACTGTCTGGAGACACACGCAGTCTTAAACTGTGCCCGGAAACATCGGTGTGAAACGCGGAAGAGGAGCTCTTGGAGGAAACCTCAGACATGCCAAAAGGAGATTCGGACAAAATACTGAGAAATTATTCCGTGTGACTACCCTTCTCCCTGGGCATTTGCATTCTAGATTCCCCGGGATACCAGAAAAAGCCTGGTTCTGATAAAACACCATTCAGATCTAAGCTGCCAGAGAGCCATCAGCCTGAAGCAATTAAAAAGAAGCATCTTAGCAGAGTTTAAGCCCAGCCGGTTTAGCGTTACCTATCTGCAGTCTCCAGAATTTTCTGAACTATGAGCTCAAATGAAGAGGATAAGCAGTAGGTTGCTGGTTCTTCCTGATCATCACCTACATCTGCAGCTTCATAGGCAGCTTCAGCAAGACTAGAGAAGGCCTGAAACACAGAACAACCGTCTCAATTACTCACTTGAGTTTACCCTCCCAGAAACACTGCAACAGATTTCAGCCCCAAAATCCCCCCCCCTAAACATGCAGGACTAACAACGCCCCCTACGAACAAGGAATTGCGAGTCCAGAGGAGGCCACGAAGATGCTCCGAGGGCTGGAGCCCCTCTGCCATGGGGACAGGCTGGGAGAGTTGGGGGGTTCAGCCTGGAGAAGGGAAGCTCCAGGGAGACCTTATAGCACCTTCCAGTGCCTGGGGGGCTACAAGGAAGCTGGGGGGGACTTTTGACAAGGGCCTGTAGTGACAGGACAAGGGGTAACGGGTTTAAACTGAACATGGGGAGGTTTAGATTGGAAATCAGGAAGGAATTCTTCCCGCAGAGGGTGGTGAGGCACTGGGACAGGTTGCCCAGAGAAGCTGTGGATGCCCCATCCCTGGAAGTGTCCAAGGCCAGGCTGGATGAGGCTTGGAGCAACCTGGTCTAGTGGAAGGTGTCCCTGCCCATGGCAGGGTATTAGGAACTGGACGATCTTTAAGGTCCCTTCCCACCCAAACCGTTCTGTGACTCTGAATTGTTCAGGGCACTGAACTTTGGTGCAACGGTGGTGAAAAGACTTAAAGTGTAACTAACACCCAAGGCAGCCCCACTGTCTGCAAACGCCTGCAGAGCACTCCTGGTCTTGACCGGCAGCTGTCAGGGATCAGACTGAACCAAAGCAACGCCTTGACCCTGGCAGGGTATGAACAGATTCTACCCACCATCCAGCATCGTCAGGTAAAACCTTGGTTTAGAAAAGGTTGCAGACTGCTCAAATTCCCAACTGCTGAGAGATTGTAACTGCTCAGAGACAGGTGGGTTAGAGGAGCTGATTTTCATTTCAATCTAAAAACAGACAGTAGTCATCGTCGTCGGAAGACAAAAGAACACATGGACTTTTGCCAGGATCAACGTATGGGGGAAAAGCTTCTGTGCTGACTACGAGGCTTCAATCTTCTGCAGTACGAAGAGAACTACTCCCGTCATTTCTAAAGCTTGTTTTGACATGCAAATACTCATCCCCAGCGCAACTCGTACTGAGCAGCTCTCTGAAAAGGCAGCAAGGGACACATCCTCTTTACCGTGAGAGCAGGTACGCTCTTGGTGGTAGACATGCGCCAAGGCGAAGTTACAACTGAAGTGGGTATGGACAAAAACATCCCATACTGCTGAATTTAGCTCTGGAACCGCTGCAGGAGCGGCTTAGGTCATGGGAAACAGGGTATCTGGCCTCTCCCTTAAGAGGAAGTGGACAGTCCAGCTGCCCCCAAGAAAAAAGCTAAGTCCCAGCGTGCCTTTGCCAAACAGCGTTCACACCAGTTATCAAGGACAGTTTCCATGGCATTTTCAAACTGAAGGCAACTTCTACCCCCAGTGACTTAATATTAGTGGTTTCCTCCTTAAAGTAATTTTCTCTTCCTTTATTCTTTCCTACCAGAGCCAAACAGACTTGAGATAGCAATTGTGTGTGTGGGATGACTGAGCCACCTCCAAAATCCACTTTAGGGTATGAGCATTGCAGCCTTCCAGTACCTGAAGGGGCTTCAAGGAAGCTGGGGGGGACTTTCCCCAAGGGCCTGTAGTGACAGGACAAGGAGTAATGGGTTTAAATTGAAAGTGGGGAGGTTTAGATTGGATATCAGGAAGAAGTTCTTCCTGGAGAGGGTGGGAAGGCACTGGGACAGGTTGCCCAGAGAAGCTGTGGATGCCCCAGACCTGTAAGTGTTCAAGACTAGGCTGGATGAGGCTTGGAGCAACCTGGTCTAGTGGAAGGTGTCCCTGCCCATGGCAGGGGGTTGGAACCAGATGATCTTTAAGGTCCCTTCCCACCCGAACCATTCTATGACTCGGAGTATGTGTGTATCTATGCGTGTATCCACCCATACGAACGCGAGCTGCATTCCCCTTGTCAGCAGACACAGGTAAGTCCGGCAGCAAAGGCACTGCCTTACCCAGCAGACGTTGGAGGCCACCCTGGGCTCGGCGCTCAGGCCCTCCATCAGACACTGCAGCAGCGGCGCGAGGTAAATGTCGTTGATGGCAGCTTCAGGAAGCATCTCGCAGATCCTGCCCACGGTCCAAGCAGTCGTGTCTCGAACCACAACGCTGGGGTCCTTCATTAGTTCTATTAGAGTTGGCATTGCCTGGAATGCAGTTGCAGTCAGGAGGAAGATGGGATCAAATGCAAAATTCACCACCATTTCGAGTTTTAACGTATTCCCTCTGAGCTAGCGATCCATCGGAGACAGGAGAGGCTAGATCCTGCCAGGCCACTCTTCTCTTAAGATTCATAAAGTTATTTCCCAGGGGGTAAGACTTAGAACTGACACCTCTGGAGTCAGGCATTCCCAAGTCTTGCACGTCCCCGTGATTCAGAGCTACACAACTCAACTACCTGCCCTGCCCTAGGCCTACCAAATCGCTCCAAAACATGGCTACAGGGGGGCATCCTTTTGCTTTTCCTCCAATTAACAACAGTGTGCAAAAGCACGCATCCTCCTCCAAATAAGTCAGAACTTTTGCTCCACAAGCCTCCAAGCACAACGGACCGTACCTGTATGACTAGTGGTTTGAGCTGGTTGGGCTCTGGTCCTTCCAAAATGCACCCAAAAGCCATCACAGCAGCATCTCTGTATCGCCAATCTGGGTTTTTAATGTGTTCTTTAATAAAGGGCAGCACGTGAGGAACGATGTCGTCTTCACAGCAGGTCGCCAGGAGCATGAGGCAGACTCCCGCTGCTTTGCAGGGATTCCAGTCGTCGTCATCATCATTTTCATCCTAGGAGAAGAGCACGCTGGTCAGTCTGGGGGAAAACAGCCCCTACCACGCACGGGCAGTGGCATCCCGTTGGACCCACGGCACGTACCGCTGCCTTATTACCAGGCATTATAACCAAAAATTCATGTGGGTCTGGCAGCACAAGCTGCACCTCTGGCAGAGAGGCAACCTGAGAGACCCGAACATCTGCGCCTTTCCATCCCGGCACGAGGCTGCTTGCTCCTTCCTGACACACCTACAGCAGCCTCATGTGTCGCCCCAGCTGCTGCTCTCATCCAGGCTGAGATTTGGTTCCTTTCACCCGTGCCATCACGCCGCAGAGTGGCCCCGCTGTACCCATTAAATCGCTTCTTCCCCCTGCACCGACAGCTCAGCCACTCACCCAATCCCTTTGAAGCCGTCTACTGGCAATTCTCTTACCTGTTTTATCTTCCCTGTTTTATCAGGCACTTTAAAACCTCCTGCACTTCAACTCTGCGTCCGAGCAGACAGCGATAACAAACAGGGAAACAATTCCCTGGATTCGCTAAGTGCGCCAGGCGTTTTCCTGGTTCACTGCAATCAGCCACATGAAGTCCATCCTGTAGGGCTTCGTTAACGGGTTTAGTTTATAATTAGACCTGCTGCAGCAAGCAATTCCATTGATTTTTATTAGACTGTGAAACACAGCCCGAACAAGTCCCCGTGAAGTGCTTAAGGGGTGCTAATAAACACCCAGTTCAAAAAGTAGAGCTCAGGAATTCCAGAAATCCTATCTCCAACGGCACAGAGACTGTAGATTGGTGCTAATTCCACCAGCATTTCGTTAGGAATACAGATAACCACCAAACCTCTTCAGGAACCGTAAATACAAGCAGGCGTTAAGGTAATTCAGCATAAAAACCAGACACTGTGTGCAGTCCCGCAGTCTCAGCCCTAAATCCGACGCATCATTCCATCAGCGTGGTGCATGAGGTCTCATCACAGACCAGGGGCTGCCACGGCAGCGCTCTGAACAGCGCGCTCTCCCCCCTAAACACCACCCGAGGGGACCGAAAGCACCGCCGGGCCCAAGCGTACCGCGGGGCGACCCGTGCGAGGGAGCAGCGGGCACCTCTGGCAACGTGCTCCTCCGCCCAGCGACAGCCAGAACTCAGCAGCGGGCACCGCCTCGGGTTTTTCTCCCACTCCGCGGGGATTTTGCGACTCACCTGCTTCGTTAACGTCTGCGTTAGAATTGGGACCAAGTACTGTAGTGCTCCCTTGGCGTAGAACTTGCTAGTGTGCTCGGGAGGCCTTCCTTGCTCCGCTGCCTGGAAAAGAGGTTACAGCACGGTTCTCAGTGGCCACGCAGGCACGAGGTCTGAACGATGAACTCCAGTGGGTACCAACTCTCTTTTGCCCACTTTCCCTTCCTTCACAACACAAACTTTAACTTGCCCGGACACACAGGGACCTCAAGGACACCCTGCGCCATTCCCAGTGCCACAGTCGAGCAGCAGGATCTGTTTGCCATTCCAGCCACGTACCCAGCCCTTCCCCACGTGACACAAACAGAAGTATTTCCAGCCTGGTGCAACATATAATTAACAAACGACCCCAGGAAGCAGCAGCAAAAGGTCTTTGGCACATAAACCAAACCTGTGTGCTGCTGACTGCCCTTTTATCCTTGCTCTCCTTGCTTTTTCGGGCATTCAGCATCAATATAGATTTAGCTACTTTCAAAAGATGGATAGGATTCATCTAGAGCCCTTCAAAGTTTCA